ATATATATCATCCTTTGCACCCAAAAGAAATCACATTGAATAAAAAAACATAATACACTAAAAAAAATGATATTGTTCGAATCGGATAGGCCCGAACCGATATGGGCCCACTAGAACCCCGAATTATCCAGCCCACTAACAGCCCGATATGCCAACCCACTAACCAGCCCGCCCCACTAATCGGACGGACTAATTTTTCTCATGACCAGCCCGGTCCAGCTTTCCGGTAAACACCCGTAGTTAATATAACATGGGGTGTGATGTTGCGTAAAAAAAATAAAAAAATAAATGAAATTCATGCTGATCTCAACCTAAATATTAAGTCACTAGATAAGGATTGCTCAAAATCATAGAAAGAAGAGAATTGTTTATTCTATCAATTAATGTACAACTTTAGCAAATGAGAAATTATGTTTAAACTTAACAAAACATAAGATACAAAGAATAATTAATTTGTATACCAAACTAATTTGAATTAAATCAGTTTCTCATTTTGGTTCAAGTTTAATGGTCAGATAACCGTTATTTATTGTTTAGTATTTAAATGAAATCAACTGAAATAGTACGACATAAATATAAAGTAGATTTAAAAATTGCAGCAATTTCAATCTTGAAGTTTTAAAAATTGTATCGAAGTAGAACTTAGCAAATGATATCAAATAGTATTTTATAATGATGACGTAGAATAATTCGATGGTACAGTTACGGGTTGAAATGTACAAAATACGACGTCGTTAGAATCCTATCTTCATCTTCCTTCAACCACAGGCGGAAGCAGAGTAGTAGAGGAATAGAACACAAATGTCGACCATTTCGACTGCATCGCTTAGCACAGACAGATTATTATTATCTATTATTTCTCCACCACCTTCAACTATTTCAAGATTCTTTCTTCCAAGTCCTTTACTTTTCTCCAAATTCCGTTCACGTCCCTCTCCTCTTACTTCATCTTCACCGTCAAGGACAACGGTGGCATGTTCCAAGTCTTCCGAAGAAGCAGAAGTGTCTCAGACACTGGACGAATGGCTTCAGAAACTCCCCGATAAGAAGAAGGCTTTGTACTCTCATAGTTTGCCCTGCATAGAAGCCTGGTTGAGGAGTTTGGGGTTTTATCAGAGTAGAGATGATAGAGCACTTTGGTTTGTTGAAAAGCCAGATTGGCATGCTCACTTGTCACTTGATATCACTGACCTCTATATAAGGTTAGTGTTTAGTGCACTCTCCTTTCCACCGCTATTTCCTTATTATTAGTCCCTTCTTAAAAGAACCATACATTTCTAAATTTGTTAATGAGAAGCTTTTATGGTCACGCAAATGTTATGACATGTTTAAGACCATAAGTCTCAAAAGTCTTGTAGCTACAGAAATGTTATGACAAATTTCAAGAATCTTTTTTTCTTTCTTAAATTTCATGCCGACTTGCCAAACAAATTGAAACGGAGGGAGTATCATTTTCATGAACAGTTTATGATTAAATATCATATTTTTAATATGTTTACATTGATTGGTAAAATGGAGCTGCTTTATGTGGGCCTAATTGGCTCTAATGTGTATGGTTAAATGGAGCTGTCTATGGTATTAGAATGAAATGGGCCTAATTGGCGCAGAATGTGTATGGAGGATACGTATGGCTGAACCCAATTATAGTTTGGCTGATTGATAGGATGTTTTCTGATTTTAGGTTTGGAACAAGATAACAGTTTTTTGTGTGAAATTCATGATCAATGGGGAGCCCATTTATCGATATAAACAGTTATTACAAAGATCATTTTTTAAATATGTCTTGTTTGGTTAAATTTAGCTGATTTACGCATGTTTTTGGGATGAAATGGGCCTAATGGAAGAAGAATGTGAATGTAGGATCAGTATAGCCGAATCCAACTATGGCTTAATTGATTGAGTGATTGATAGGATGTTTTTCCTAATATCAGGGATTCAGGGTACTGGAACAAGATTTCAGTTTATGGTGTGAAATTCATGATCAAGAGGTTATCTTGAAAAAGCCCCATTTATTAATATGATTTGGTTCTAGTTAATGTGGGCAATTGCTTTCTTGACCACTAGCATGTGTTTATGATTGAGGGGTCGTTTGGTAGGGTTTATAAGAATAATACTATATAGGATGTATTATTAATGCTGAGATTAGTAATGCTGGGATTAGTAATACTGAGGTAAATTATACTGTGATTATTTCTTAGTGAGTGTTTGGTTTGGTGTATTAAAAATAACATCCATTGCATAATTTTTTAAAAAGTTGTTTGTTTACAAAAATACCCCAAAAATTTTGGAAAGGATTTGTAAATTTTTGAAAGGTCAGTTCTATCTTTATACATACTTATACACGTATTAAAAACTATGTTAATGCCATGGTTTGGTACTGAATAAAGTGTATGACTAAATGTATTAGTTATACATTGTGCATAAAAGTTGAAGAGGGTAAGGTATTGGTGGAGGAGGCACATATTAGACGAAGATGGCAGACCTACCTCCATAAACTCTTGAATGAAGAGGGAGACAAGAACATTGTGCTAGGTGAATTGGAGCATTCCAAGAGTCGTCGCAATTTTGGGTATTGTAGTTTCATGATGGGCCGATCGACTACGGAAGCTATTCACCTTATTAGGAGATTAGTGGAACAACACAGGGAGAAGAAGAAGGATTTGTATATGGTATTTATTGACCTAGAGAAAGCATATGACATAGTCCCGAGGGAAGTCCTTTGGAGATGTTTGGAGGCTAGCGGTGTTCATGTTGATTATACCGGGTGATTAAGGACATGTATGAGGTAGCTAAGACCCGCGTGAGGACTGTGGGAGGGGACACAGAACACTTCCCGGTTCTAATGGGGATGCACCAGGGATTGATTTTTAGCTCGTTTTTATTTGCTTTGACGGTAGACGTACTTACGCGTCACATTCAAGGGGAAGTGCCTTGGTGCATGTTATTTGCAGACGATATATTCCTGATTGACGAGATGCGGGTTGTGTTAATGCAAGGCTAGAGGTTTGGAGGCAGACCCTAGAGTTAAAATGTTTACAGTTGAGCAAGACCAAAACAGAGTACTTAGAGTGCAAGCTTGGTGATGGGAATCGTGATACAGACGCGGTAATCTCGCTTGACAACCAAGTTCTCCCCGAGAAAGGAAGTCTCAAATACCTAAGATCAGTAATCCAAGGGGATGGGGAGATTGACGAGGATGTCACACATCGCATTGGAGCGGGGTGGATGAAATGGAGGCTCGCATCTGGTGTTTTGCGTGATGAGAATGTGCCGCATAGACTTAAAGTTAAGTTTTACAAAGTGGTGGTTAGACCGACTATGTTATATGGGGCAGAGTGTTGGCTAGTTAAGAACTCTCATATCAAAAAGATGAAAGTAACCGAGATGAGGATGCTGAGGTGGATGTGCGGGCGTTCCAGGAGAGATAAGATTAGGAATGAAGCTATTCGAAACAAGGTGGGAGTGGCCTCCGTGGAGGACAAGATGCCTGAAGTGAGGTTAAGATGGTACAGGCATGTGAAGAGGAAAGGCGTTGATGCCCCCGTGAGGATGCTGTGGTGGGCATGAGAAGAAGTAGAGGTAGGCCGAAGAAGTATTGGGGTGAGGTGATTAGGCAGGACATGACGGAACTTCAGCTTACTATGGACATGGCCCTACATAGGAGGGTGGAGGTCGAGGATTAGGGTAGAAGGTTGGGGTGGCTGGGTGTATTCCTTTGTCATCCTAGTGGCAGTAGTATTAGTCTTGTAGTCTTTTTCCCTTTTTCCTTTTCGTAGAATTATATTCCTACCTGTTATTTCTTTCGCTTCAATTATTTTACTATATCGCTGTTGTTTATATATCGATGTTGTTACTGTTTATTACTACTGCTCCATTTCATTTTGTTCTTGAACCGAGGGTCTTTGGAAACAGTCTCTCTACCTCCACGAGGTAGGGGTAAGGTTTGCGTACACACTACCCTCTTCATACCCCACTTGTGGAATTATACTGGGTATGTTGTTGTTGTAGATTGAAAAACACTACCAAACAAGGGTTAAATAATACCAAAGCTAATACGTATATTATTTTCCCTAATACATCCTACCAAACGACCCCTAAATGTTGGAGTTAGATGAGGTAGCTGGCTTAGATTTGGTTTTACCAAGAAAGTTGTTTGGTTGATTAATTGTAAGAAACTACCGTATATAGGCTATACTGTTCGAATTGCAATCTATTGTTAAACATAAAGTTTATACATTCATGTTATATTCCAGAAAAAGAGAAAACTGCACATACACTTATTAATGAACCCCCTTTTGATAAGCAAGTCCAGTGTTAGGTTCATTTGATAACTCAATCATGCTCAGTGCTGAAAACCCTGCTAAAACAATATCAGCCATGAATCTTGAGTAAGCTATGCAGATACATATATTTTTCATTATTGTCGCTTGCCTTTTCCTTCCGGTATGATTGTACGCTTTGCTAATCTATTGAACACTTCTTTGCACCTTGTATAAGTATTATATTTACATTGTGGTGTATGATGCAAAAGAAGCTACCAGATGCGTATTGTTTATAAAGGAAATAAAGTGAATCAGGTAACAGCATAATAACTTACATAGTTGAAAATGATGTGTAATAGTTAAGTATTGATATAATTGGATATATGTCTTTACTTATAGAGGAGCCAGGCCTTGCCTTCGGATTGTTTCATCCTTTTTAGAAGAACAAGAAATCTTTCTCTCCTCATAAAAGAAAACTGTCTTTCTCTCTTTGAAATGCAAAACATAGTTGTGAGCTTGGAAGCATTAAATTACTACTAATCCTTGACATTGTCGTAATGTGATCAATAATTACTAGATCATTCCAAACTTTTTGATAAACAACTGGCTAATTGCTCTATTGTGGAAATTTTTGATTGATTGTTCAAAGAATATCGCATCACCAGTTTGAACTTTGATCTAATACGTGCTGAATGTTTCTTTGAAATACAGGTATCTAAAGATTGGACCTGGAAATCTTGAGAAAGATGTAGAGAGGAGATTCAGCTACGCACTGAGTAGGGAAGATATTGAAAATGCCATACTTGGAGGTCCATAAGGATAAAAATTTCATGTGCGGATGTCAGTTATCCACGTTGCTGTCCCGTCTCAATTCCAAGCAACTCTAATGATTAATTTTTCCCAATAACTCGTATAGATACAGATACAGTGGGATCTAAAAAAATTTAGGATGGAGTTTTAGAGATATTGTGGGGTTGGATTAAGTTTAAGTGTCATAGTGATCTTTGAGAAACATTGTTCACTTTCATAAATTACCTGGCTGATGCCCATCCACTTCTATTAAATTGATAAGAACAGGATTTTAGGCTAGTTCACATACTGTTGGTGGACAACTATTCATATGGTCGGAATTCAGGGGTTCTGTTTTCTTCTATTATTATGGTATTATAAGTTGGTACTCCCACTATTGTGGAGCTCTCATCTATGCTATTTAACGAACCAGTGAAAGCTTTGCCAGAAGTGTTTTTTTTTTCACTTCAAAGTTCGAAAATCAGGATCAAAGATTCTAAAGATAATAAGATGCTGACAGATTAAGACCGATAATTCAGCATCCAAGACCTGGCTTATGAAGTTGTTTGGATCACCGTTCTTGTTCTAGTTACTACAGCAGGTTTTGGTATGAAGAGCATGGTTACAGAAAACCAAAAAACTTTGTTCCTTAAGAAGTGCTAAGAGATTTACCGTTTTAATGATGTTTTGCACTACACAGGTTTTCTGATATAGCACTGAAGTTTTACTGCCAAGTTTAAGCAATCATATGCAGAATCGTATTCAATATTTTCATTTTGGCAAACTCGTTCAAATTGGTTGACAGCAAAATTGGTCCTATATAGGGTATAGTACAGATTTTACAAATAAAATGTTATTCGTCACATGGTATTACTACCAAGAGAAATATCCTTTCTTTCATTATTTGTTAGATTGCACCAATTGACTATGGAATTACTAGCCCTTCATCATTAATAACGATGGAGAAATGCTACGGCTTATTAGCTGACAATAATAGCATAACTGTGTCATGACATTCTGAGAATTCTTTATCTGGGGATAAGGAATAACAAGATGATATTGTGCGTCTATAACACAAACGTCTGAAGTGCCGGGGTGGCAAATAAATTCATTTATACTGGTGGAAGATGGTATACATCTGTGAACATACATTCGATGAAGAATGCATACGAAATCAAGAAGATTGACATAAACTACAGTTATACGGGCTCACTACCTCCCAAGCCTTCCAAGCTGCACTAGCATGTTAAGCAATCAGAATTCTGAGCACCAACTCCTTTACTTCTTTTAATGCCCCACGTTCCCTATGTTATTCCAGATTCCTAATCTGACTAACTTCACATGCTCATGGAAAGCAGATCGACCCTAATGGCGGCTTGTGGGCAATCCACAGTAGTTTCAACTACATGGGCAGTGTGTGTTAGGCCAAAGAAGATATTGCAAAATATGCAGTTAGCTTCAATGAGATTCCGCTGACTGATAATGAGACCAATACTCCTTCACAAGCTGCCCGAAGAGTGAACCTTCGTTCTTCATTAGCTTCATTGGTTCATCATACTCAACTAGCTTCCCTGTATTCACCACCAAAGTTAAAAGTCATTACAACTAAAACATACTCATAGTAGTGTTTCAAAGTAAACAAACAGGTCTTACCATCGCTAATGGCCAGAACCATTGTACAATCCATTACTGTGGGTATCCTATGGGCAACAGTAATAACAGTACTATTAGCAAATTCTGTCCTAATAGTTTTCTGCAATATCATATCAGTGGCATTGTCGATCGATGCAGTTGCTTCGTCAAGCACCAAAATCTTGGCTTTCCTCAAAAGAGCACGTCCCAAACAGAACAATTGCCTCTGCCCCATGCTCCAGTTTGATCCATCTTCCACAACTGAAAAGACTACCAAAGTTAGAAGAACCCCACTTGGATAACACAATCAGACATGTTCTTAGAAAAGCTTACCCAATGAGTCAAGCCCCTTCTCTTTTTCCTCAACTGCCTCTTTTAGCTGACACTTCCCAAGAACCTGTATCAATGAAGATGAGAATGAAATCAAGAAACTAGATCACCTTTGGTACAATGCACATTCACCATAAAATTAGCAAAAGATAAGGACCTAATACATAATAAGTAAACGCAAATTACCTCCCATATTTCCTCATCAGTATGCTGACACAAGGGATCTAAGTTGTATCTTACTGTTCCATTGAAGAGTGTAGGGTCCTGCGGTATAATCCCAAATCGGGACCTTAGATCATGAAGACCGATTTTAGAAATGTCAATTCCGTCTACCAAAATCCTTCCACCTGCTGGCTCCACTAATCGAAATAGGGCACCGATGAGAGTAGTCTTGCCACTGCCAGTCCGGCCAACAATACCAATTTTATGACCTCCTTCAAATGTACAAGTGACCCCCCTAAGAACAAGTGGGGAATCTTCCCTATATCTGATCTGTTTTGGAGCACACTGATCAGCATATTGATCAGTTCTAAATACAAGAAAATTAGGTGGTGAGAAGAAATTTACCTGTAAATCTTGAATTTCAACTTTACCCCTCATGGGCCAATTGACTGGTGGACGGTTTTCTTTAACAATTTCAGGTGCTTCACTTGGAATGTGCATATACTGGTTAAGTCTTTCTACAGAAATAATGTAGTTTGCTAGCGTGCACTGGTTTTGAATGGAAAAAACAAGAGACATGTTTAAGGAAAGACCATAGGACAAAGCCATCCCAATAAATCCTACAAAAGAATAAGAGTCTGTTATCTGAAAAGCTCTTCTGTTTAAGCGAAAGGTTAAGAAACAATAATGTAGAGTTCTTTATCAAATCCCAAGAGTAATATTAGTTAATGGCATACCTGAGCTGAAAGTCCCTGGAGGAAGCAAAACCATGCAAAGTGCCGAGGATGCTAGAACAACTGCACTAATAGTTTCGAGTCGTTGTATCAACCACTCATTTGCTGCAAAATTGTGGAAGAAAGGACTGGCATTTATATCGATTAGCTCAAAAGTCTTCATGAAAAATCTGTCTTCCTCTTTGAATGCCCTTATAGTCACAGATCCGGCAATAGATTCAGCAAGATGGTTGGCCACAAATGATTTGGTTGTACCATTTATCCGCATCAACTCTTTGGCAGACGCATAGTAGTATTTCTGCCAAGAGTAAGAGAAGTCAAGAATCCAACTTATCAGCTACTGCTAGCACATAAGAGAATAGTGCTGCAGAGCTATGTTGCTCAGACTCTCCGAAAATGTTGTCGGGTGCGTGTCGGATCCTCCAAAAATAGTGTATTTTTGGAGGATACGACACGGGTGCGGCATTATTTTGGAGAGTCTGCGCAACATAGCTGCAGAGAATTGAACTTTCATAATCCTCCAATCCTTGTCAGAGAATCTCTAATTTATTTGAACTCCAGACTATCATATATTCTAACTATGAGCGTATATGGAAAACGTTTAACTATAAATCCTGTACTATTTCCATACAGGAAGCCGATGGGCAAAGACATGAAATTCAAAATTTAATATATTGAAGGATCTATTGCCTGGATGTTCTACATAATGATTGAGAGTGGGTATGTGCACGGGATGTATAAAGGGTGCTGAGATAAATAAAACACCCATCTCTTACCTGCAACCGAATGGCAAGACAAACCATTGGGACGGAGATAACCAGAACTTGCCAAGTGACAACGGCTAGCACTGTAAGGTTAGAGTAGAAGTTTGTGGTAGCTCCAAAGGCAAAAACCAAGTTGAATGGAATATCAAGATCAACTATACTCAAATCTGATGAGACCTGCATATATGGGAGGTAGTGGAGAGGTGGAAAAAATGGTTAGGTCCATAAACATCCTTAATATCAATGTTATAGCTTATTTTTCAATGATCACATTTGATGTATTTACCCTGCTTAAAATCCTTCCCAAAGGTGTAGAGTCATAAAATGACATAGGAGCATGGAAAAGAGAATTTAATAGCTGTGAGAACAAGGACTTTGATGATTGCAAACCCAAAAAAACCGTTGATAGAGATCTAGAGAGCAGAAACAGCGTTGATACACCTCCAATTAGCAAGTAAACTGTAATCAGTCTCAAAGTGCTAACTTGGGGATTATCAACATTTGCTGCCATCCAGGAATTCTGTGTTATCTGACCAACCACAAACGTTATGTGCGAGATTACAGCCACAGCAAAGAAGAAGTACCCTTTGTTCTGATTTAGATACTGAACATAAGGCTTAAATCCAGTGTCTCCCACTTCTCTCTCTTCTTGCTTAATCAACTGATCACCTACAGAGGCTATAGATTTTTTGCCGGTATCAGTTTTACGAATTTCTCTTGTATGAGATTCCCGCCTTGATGAAGAATTAACCTCTGCAACCCTTTCTGAACCAGCAGTCTCTTTGTGTGCATCAACCAAGTCCTGAAACTCTTTGCTCGAGGCCAATAACTGATGATATGGTGCTGCATGTAAAATTTCTCCATCTGACATTAACTGTGTATAAAAGTAGACATATATAAGGACACTTCTTGTAAATATTACTAAAGACTACTGTGATTTTACAGAAAATATATCAGAAGTTTGAGAGTTTACTTCCTTTTTTTTTCTTTAAAAGATAAATGATAAGAAGTCGTATTAGAAAGAGAAGTTCATCAAGAAAAACTAACCAGAACCACATCAAATGCAGGAAGAAAATCAACTTGGTGGGTCACAAGCAAGACAGTTTTCCCTGAGAGAGCTCCCATGACATATTCCTGCAAAAGACCAGTTCAGACTTGAGCTTGCAAATCATAATAAATTATATGAAGCACAATACTGTCAACAAAATTTCTCACATTGAATAGGCTACTAGCAGTATGGGCATCTACAGCACTGAATGGATCATCCAACAGATATATATCAGCATTCTGATATAATGCACGAGCAAGTTGAATACGCTGCTTTTGACCACCACTAAGATTAACTCCTCTTTCACCTATTTCAGTGAGATCACCATAAGGTAGCAACTCAAGGTCTTTTAACAGTGAACACTTCTCCAAAGTTTGCTGGTATCTCTGGCTATCCAGTGGAGAACCAAACAAAATATTTTCTCTTATTGACCCTGTCTGAATCCATGCCGATTGAGAGACGTAAGCAATTGTTCCAAAAACTTGAACCTGCAGAACATAGAGAATCTATCAGTTGGGACTACGGAATTATTTTCTTAGATATGCATGAAGTGAAGTAAGCTATGAATGTGCCTGCAATAAAAACTTCGAGAACCTACTTGTCATTTCCTTCCTAGCAAGGAAAACAGTAACTAACCAATGCAACTTACAGTTCCTTGGATACTTGGAACCTCTCCAAGCATTGCTGCCAAAAGAGTTGACTTTCCTGAGCCCACCTCCCCACATATAGCAATCTTCTGTCCGGGTCTAACCTCC